TATCTAAGTTAATACCATCCCAATCAAACTCAGATAAGATTTTTCCAAAATTGATAAGATTATAATTATTAATAATTCTTTTGGTGAAGCTTTCATCCTTAGATGGGGTTATTATATTATTTATATGGGATAAAATAGCAAAATGGTCAGCTATATCTAAGTCAATTACATTTACAGATATATCAGTTTCATCAATATTTGAAATAAAGTTATCCAAGCAGGATCTAGAGGTAGGAGTTATCCTCGTAGGTGTGTGCACAAAATGTGTCAAACCAAAAGATGATAAGGCGTTACCTAGTTTAACAGAACTTACACTATTACTGTCAAGGTCCAAGTTAATATCACCCGTTATAATAATTTTTCTATATTTTTTATACAAAAAATGTATTAAAGACATAAATGAATTTATAAAAATATCTATATTACCATTGGAGGATGATCTGTACAGCGTTATTATAGCAGTATTTTTATTAATAATTTCTGCACCACAAAACTCAGCATGTATTGGAATACTAAATGCTGAGATGTCAATACATTTAAGAGGAACTTTGGAATTTGAAAAAATAGCTACGCCTCCATGTTCTCCTGAATCTCTACAAAAAGCAGATATTAGGAGATAATTATTTAGGTTGATCACTGTTAAGTTTTCCGACGTTAGCCAGTGTTCTGAGAAACATAAAATATTTATTTGATTCGTATTTGTATAAATTCGTAAGATATCTAGCTTATTAGTTAAACTTCGGACATTGACATGTAACAGTGAAAAAGTCAGATCAGCTGATGTTATCGTTCCTTGTTCTTTAATATTATTATTGTTCATTCGTGGTATCTTGATTTGCCTGGTACTGTCTTCTGTACCGAAAAAACTCATTTAAATAAACACCTTCCGGCCAAATTTCTGTATTTAGTAGCTTCTGTGCGGAAGTAGAGGGTACAATAATCTTGAAAGATGCATAGAGTTGGGGCTGTCTAGATTTCAATTGTTCAACCTTGACTTCATCATCAATATTTTTTAGATGATTCCTCACATCATCGGCTACTGTGTTCGGATTCCAATTTGTCGAATGGTAAAAGGTAATATCGGTAGAAACATTAGCTGCTTTTAAGTTTTGATCATCATTACGCATTGATCCAACTAATAAACTTTTTGGTTTTGGGTAACTTCTAAAATTTGGTTTTATGGATTGATTGGTTTTATTTAAATTTATAATGTCTGCACATACACTAGATGTTTTTGCTTCATGTATGGCAGCTGAAACGTGTTTCGAATTTAGATTACTGGCTGGCCAACTAGGTCCTTGACGAGATGAGCTCTGAGCATCATTTCTACTTTGGTTGACATTGATGCTAGTATATTCATTTAAGTATTTACTATTTTGGGAATGGAATGATGCCTGATTTTGTATTAACTCTATTTGTGACTGCAATGACTTAATAGCGATTTCTTGATTTGTGATCACTAAATCTTTTTGCCGGATGATTTCCTCAAGATATGTAATTCGAATTTCATCAATAGAGTTTTTAGCTGGGTTTATAGATGGATTTGGAGACATTAAATCCGACGAATTTTCAGTAGTGCCAACACAGCAATTTATTGTTTGACTGTCAATCTGTATTACATTTTTCAAACCTGGTATACAGCTAACATGAGAAACTGTTCCACAAGTTATGCAACGTAATCCTGTTTTGGCAGGATTTTTACACCTTTTACAACGGTTTGTATTCTCTGAGCTATTTCCATTTTTGTTTGCCATTTAGATACACAAACTTTCAGTCACCTTAGAATAAATATGTAAATAATTTAATTAGAAACTGTCGCAAAGCAAAGCAAAGCAAATTTAAAATTTTGGTGGAATGAACAAGCCAATTAGCCTAAATCGATATGTTTTGATTGTTTTTGTACTCACAAGAATCCAACGAATACACGTTTTTCACTTAGTTGACGATGAAAAATTGCACTAACACTGTAGAATCACCAGAGAAGAATACACAAATATAATCCAAAAGCAAACTTTCGCTGTTTTTTGTAGTGAAAAGCAGTTAAAACAGGACACAAACACTTTCACATATACAAATTACATTTAACAATAATAATAATAATAATAATAATAATAATAATAATAATAATAATAATAATAATAATAATAATAATAATAATAATAATAATAATAATAATAATAATAATAATAATAATAATAATAATAATAATAATAATAATAATAATAATAATAATAATAATAATAATAATAATAATAATAATAATAATAATAATAATAATAATAATAATAATAATAATAATAATAATAATAATAATAATAATAATAATAATAATAATAATAATAATAATAATAATAATAATAATAATAATAATAATAATAATAATAATAATAATAATAATAATAATAATAATAATAATAATAATAATAATAATAATAATAATAATAATAATAATAATAATAATAATAATAATAATAATAATAATAATAATAATAATAATAATAATAATAATAATAATAATAATAATAATAATAATAATAATAATAATAATAATAATAATAATAATAATAATAATAATAATAATAATAATAATAATAATAATAATAATAATAATAATAATAATAATAATAATAATAATAATAATAATAATAATAATAATAATAATAATAATAATAATAATAATAATAATAATAATAATAATAATAATAATAATAATAATAATAATAATAATAATAATAATAATAATAATAATAATAATAATAATAATAATAATAATAATAATAATAATAATAATAATAATAATAATAATAATAATAATAATAATAATAATAATAATAATAATAATAATAATAATAATAATAATAATAATAATAATAATAATAATAATAATAATAATAATAATAATAATAATAATAATAATAATAATAATAATAATAATAATAATAATAATAATAATAATAATAATAATAATAATAATAATAATAATAATAATAATAATAATAATAATAATAATAATAATAATAATAATAATAATAATAATAATAATAATAATAATAATAATAATAATAATAATAATAATAATAATAATAATAATAATAATAATAATAATAATAATAATAATAATAATAATAATAATAATAATAATAATAATAATAATAATAATAATAATAATAATAATAATAATAATAATAATAATAATAATAATAATAATAATAATAATAATAATAATAATAATAATAATAATAATAATAATAATAATAATAATAATAATAATAATAATAATAATAATAATAATAATAATAATAATAATAATAATAATAATAATAATAATAATAATAATAATAATAATAATAATAATAATAATAATAATAATAATAATAATAATAATAATAATAATAATAATAATAATAATAATAATAATAATAATAATAATAATAATAATAATAATAATAATAATAATAATAATAATAATAATAATAATAATAATAATAATAATAATACTCTCCCTAATTCACCCCCTTACGAGTGAATTTTAACCCCAAAAGCTAAGCTTGTCCGGGGAAAGGGACGGCTATTATTATTATTTGCCGTGGCGCTCCGGAGCGACTTAAAGATGATTGATGGTGCCATTTGACAGATGAGGAAAACCCGTAAAACCTCACCCACCATCATCGAGACGATAATGTATGGCGATTTTTTTTTATAATCTGCATGTCATATCAACAGAAATTGAATTTCTATTAATACGGCACACATCAAATCCTATACCGAACCATGCAATTTAATTAAAAATCTACATGGTCTGGTCTGGTCTGGGATTCGAAGCCCAGCAGTCCCTGACACATAAACTTGCTTACACCATCGACCCGATTTGTCATTTCCTCCATCTCCCCTGGTACATCACCCATATAAGATATATTGTTTCTAGATTTTTTGATATAATTCTGGATTTGACGTTATTCCAAGACTAAAAGCAGAGACTACCTTAAAGTCGTTATATCGTAATTATAGGTAATATTATATACATAATATTAATGAAGCTAAAAGTTCTTTCATATTTTTTAATCTTGTTACTATTAAAACTAATAAAAATGAGCTTGTACTTTCTCTAGCTGCAAGTGTTAGGTGTTAATAATAATTTATTTATACAATTTATTTATTTTTATATTGCCATTAATTCATTATTATTATTATTACAGACAATAATACATACCTTTCTCCAATATTTCCAGTCTTTGATTACTCCGGGGATAGCATTAAATTTCTCTGTCAAGTCCTCACACATTTTTTTGCAGTCAGCAGCTGTATGCTGATTATTATGTTTTTGTTTTTTTATAATATTGGGATTGGCCTCAATATACTCCAGTAGGGCTTGCTTTTGAGCCCTAGAGAGTTGCTTTTTCACCGCGTTTATTTTTAATGATGAATTAATTATTAATTAAATTATTGTCAAAATGACATTCAAATACTAATCTTAGTTATTCAGACCAATCAACATTTTTGACTTATAATTATGACAGCTTACGACAAAAATGAAGTCACTTGCGAATTGCAAAAGCGTCTAGCATTAGAGAATACCATAACCGAATGCTTGTCGTTTTGGTAATCGAACTTTGTTGAGAAGTCCGCTTGGCGCTTTCGTTGCTATACGTTTTCGGCTAAAAGTTAGAAAATAACCCCCCTAAGTCCCCTCGCAAGCTGCATCGACGGGTTGTGGAGTAAACCACCTGAATAAAATTGGCGGTCGAAGATTCTCCAATAGTAGGACGTCAAAAGTAAGTACCGTTTCTTTGAGGAAAGAAAATATGTTAGAAATTTTGCATATCAGAGAAAGCTTCAATGTAGGAGAGATCAGTAATGGGCATTTCTAAATCTAGTTATGGAATATATCCATTTTGGTATGTTCATAGTTTTAAAATAAAATTCAATAGCTATAAAAGAAAATATTTAATTTATTTAAAATAAATAAACTTTATAAAACTAGTTTAAATAGAATCAACCCATTGCAGAACTTTTATATTAATTCATCTTTTTTTAATTTCACCACTTTTTCCGATTTTTCCCAAATAGTTTCGCACAGTCTTTGGTTTTCGAGTTGCTTTGGTTTACAAATTGACACCAGATCTGCGAAAAATCTTCCACTAACGTTTTGAACTTCGTTGGCACACGCTAAATAAATGGCGGTTTGGGCGCCATCTTCTGGCGTCTGAAAATTAAATAATATATAATTTTTATCAAAATTTACTTTAAAAATATTTGCTTTGCCTTTGTAAAAAAAACAAATTTTAGGATATTCACTTTTACCTCAAAGAGTAAATACAGATATACCTATCTAGATTTCTCGTGTATTTTGACAAATAGATTTGAAAGGATATTATGTAACAAAGTCATTTGTTTATCATAGCATTGGAAATGACTTGTTTCGCAAAAGTGTGTTTGTTGTAAATTTATCAGAAATTATTAGAATCTATGAAACACATTTTCCAGCAAGTCATTTTACCTACGACTATCATTTTTATTTTTTTTTGTTAAAATAAACTAGTAGTTTGAAGGTTAAATAAAAGCCAGTACACTTTCAAAATTAAATAAATATAAACATTACATTTCATGTGGTTTTAAATAATTACTTATAAAGATATATACGTAAAATCTTTGTTGCTAGTTGACGCCTGACGTTCTGATCTGACCAGTGAAGTTAGAAAAGGGGAGAGATGATAGGTCTATTCCAACAACGATCAGAAACCAGACACTGACAGCAGGATTCATATCACATCAAATAAGTGACACCCTTAGATTATACAAACCTTAGATGGAACATAAGACACTGCGCATAATCCCATTTCGAAATTATTCACACCTACCAATCACAGTTGAGAAAATCACATGTCAGAGCGTTGTCCATCCAAATTTAATGTGTCAACGAGAATTAATTTGGTATTTTAGTGACTTAAATTTTGGAAATTAACGTTGAAAATAACAATATGGATTGTAAAAAGCGTTATTTATAATGAAAGTGCTAGAAGTGACGGAGATAAAAGAAACTTTCATTTATTTCGGTAAGTTATTTAATTTTTAAAGATTCTTTATTTGTTGATTTGAAAATAAACAGAATCGGACTTGGTCATTGGTACATGTTATAAATAGCAAATAAAGGTTATTATTATAAACTGTTTACTTTTCTTGTTTCATGGGGAATCTTTTTTCAGGAAGTGGAAAGAGTAACATACTATCAAATACAAAAATATCAATTTCATTGCCAATTTATTCGTTTCAAACTTTACAACTGGTTTCAATAGTTTTTTTTTAAACTATTTAGTATTTCTCTATAACAGTGTTACTCAAAGTGTACTCCACGGAGCCCTGGGGCTCCGCAAAGCCTTTGTGAGGGCTCCGTGAAAAAAATAATCATGATAAAAAAAACAGTACTATCGCCACAAAATGGAGGGACCTGGCTTAAGAACTTTTTTTTTGAGAAGTAATATTTTTAAGTCACTAAGAGGAAGAAGGATATGATTTTGCTTGAGAACTTTTTTTAATTTTTTATGAGTGAAATGAAATTGGAATAATTCTTGCAAGGAATCTTTTGAATTAATCAAAAATAAATTAACAACAAATGATGTTCTTGTGCATTTTTAGCCTGAGTTGCCGATTAAATTAATCGTAGATGCTTTAAATATGGAAATAAGGGCTATGATATGTCATGTTTTTGAAAAAAATATTGAGAAACCTATAGCTTCTGCTTCGCGTACCTTATCAAAGTCCGAACAAAAATATTCCCAAATTGAAAGAGAGGGCCTTGCAATAATTTTTGGCCTAAATAAATTTAATGAATATTTATATGGACATTTTTTTATCTTCGTTACATATCACTTACCTCTGGTAACTATTTTTAACCCAGCTAAAGGTATGCCCCAATTTTCAGCCAACAGAATACGTAGATGGGCAGCAATATTGTCAAATTATAATTACAAAATTGAATATGTGAAATCGGAGCATAATATAAAGCCGATTTTGTATCACGTTTACATATTGAAAGTCAAAATGAAGAGTAAAATGAAGACAAATTTGAAAGTTATTTTTTAAATTATGTGTTTTATGTGTTTAGGGCTCCGTCAAATATTTCGCTTTTCAAAAAGGTTCTTTCGTCAAAAAAGTTATTTTCTCTAATTTTGACATATAAAGTAATATATTTTGTTATCGCAGAAGGTGTCAAAACGATCTACTTTATGCAACCAATTGCATAAAGTAAATCATTATGCAACTGATTACGAAAAGTTGATTATGTCACCAATTACGAAATGAAAATAAATAAAACTGCCTCTTTTTTAAGTCGAAAAATCGAAAAATTGAGAAATCGAGAAATCGAAAAATCTAAAACTCGATTAATCGAAAAAATCGAAAAATAATAAATCGAAAAATCCAAAAAACAAAAATCCGAAAATCGAAAAAAAGGCAATGAATAGTGACATTTCACATTTAAAAATATGACATTACGTTTAACAACAAAAAAGAAAACAAAAAAATCTGAAAATTGTGTTTTATTTTTTAAATAATTGAACACCGTTATTAAAACTGCCCAGAAATGTTGGGGGTAAAATTTTGACGTACTCCTTTAAGGATAATGCGTAAAAATGTTTTTTTTTTTCAAATTTCCTGCAAGTAATGTCAAAAATCAGTTCGGCAACACTGCACATGTTCCTTATTTTTATTATTACTATTAAAAAAAAAAAATGTCATAGTGCAATCAAATACAACAATTTTCTAAAATATTTACCTACAAAAGAATGATAGTGAATCATTTTTCAACACAATTTTATAAATAAGTCAAAATTAAAAAAGATCTTGTATGTAAACACGTTACGAAATGCCGTTTTGTGTAACTCGTTCATTTTGCGGGACTTCGCTTCGCTCGTCCCAAAAATAATTACTTGTTACACAAAATAAGGCATTTCGTAACTGGTTACATAAATAGCTATTAATTGACTTTCTAATATTTTAAATCATTGAACAGTATTTTCCGTAAATAATTAAATCATAAATAATTACCGGCATATAAGTACCAAAACATTTTTTTCTCTTCGAAGAGTAGGCCTATGTCAAGTAAACTTAAAGTATTATAACGAACGAAAAGGTAACCCATTTCTAATAAAATTTAATTATTTATTTTATTTTGGTGTGATCGTAGAAAAAATGTGTGTAATTCGAGCAAAAAGTACTTTGGCTGTTTCGACAACTTTTTATTTCAACAGCTATTTTGTTACAATAATTTTATAAACTTTTACTTAGGGTCGATTTCACCGTTTTGTTAAACGAAGTTTAAAATACTAAACGAAGATTAAAATGATATTTTTACAATAACAATGTCATTTTAATCTTCGTTTAGTAATTTAAACTTCGTTCAACACAACGGTGGAATCGGCCCTTAGCTACTAGCTATACGGAGTGGCCCAAAAGTCTGGAAACGGCCAATTATCTCGTAAATTGCTAATACTAATTGTACAACATTTGGGATACACCTATCTTGGGATACGGAGATTCCAGATTTGATATTTGCAATGTTGCCAGATTTTCCTTTTCTCTTATAATATTAGTCACTTTGGTTTTTTAAATTTATCACCCTGTATATTCAGTCATTATTGGAATCTCCTATTCAATACGAGTTCAACCATATATAACACTTTATGATTTTATGTAGTCTGGAAGATCTTAAAAAATAAAATAAATCTGGCAACGCCTAATTGTCTCAATAAATTTTTTAATACAAACTATTTTCAACTACATTAAAACGTAACAATTGAAAGATTATAACATTTTTAACAAAATGGTTACTTTATCAAGTGTTCAAAATGTGTTTCATTTGTAAGTTGACAGTACCCTAATCGATGGTAGAATGCGTCTACCACATTTCTCCATGATTGTTTTGTTTTTTTAAGACCTTCCAGACAACATAAAATCATAAGTGTTGCATATGGTTGAACTCGTATTGAATAGGAGATTCCAATAATGCCTGAATATACAGGGTGATAAATTTAAAAAACCAAAGTGACTAATATTATAAGAGAAAAGGAAAATCTGGCAACATTGCAAATATCAAATCTGGAATCTCCGTATCCCAAGATAGGTGTATCCCAAATGTTGTACAATTAGTATTAGCAATTTACGAGATAATTGGCCGTTTCCAGACTTTTGGGCCACTCCGTATAGCTTTTTAATTTTGACTTATTTTTAAAATTGTGTTAAAAAATGATTTATCATCATTCTTTTGTAGGTAAATATTTTAGAGAATTGTTGTATTTGATTGCACTACAACGTTTTTTTAATAGTACTGTAACCTACCGCACCCAGGTACCTTAATGATTTATTAATTCCATCTATTAAATACAATATTACATTCTTTTAAATTCAAAATGCCTCATTTAACGAAAAATCTCCCAGATAATTAAATCTTATTTACGACACCTAATAAATAATAGCTATAACCACGTCCGTAAAGATCCAAAATATATCCACGTGTCTCTGAGTACCAGCCCAAAGAAAGCACCATAAAGCGTATTTCTGTTTACGAAGTAATTATTATTAAAACGCTTAAGTCGCCTATTTTTCCAGTTTCTATGTTAAGACCGATGTCGACAATATTTCGATACACAAAGCTTTCAAGGCAAGTAATAAATAAGCCACCTCCTGTACCCACCGTATTTCTATGAGAACTAAGACATAGAGACGTCACAAAGCCATTAAAACTTTTATTATAAAAAGCCAGACAAAAATGAGCTCGAGTCATTCATTTTCAATTATTTGATGTGCAAGCATTCATTTATTATTTGTATCCAGTTATATTTCAAGTTCAGTAATCAGTACCTTTCCTAAAACGCTCTTCCTAAACTACGTCTATCCTACAATACCTCCTATCCCCGAAGGTGTCACCGTCTCGACGCCCAACGTCCTGCCGTCCTGCTCCCTACGTCTCGAACGCTGTCACATTCCTCCCCATATAAGTATTTTCCTACCGTACACTCATTTCGACGCTCAACGTCCCACGCCTTATTTCCGACGCTTGCCGTCCATAATTATTTCCTTCATAATATCACGTCCCGCACCACCTACATAATTCTACCGTATGTCTGTCCCAATACAATACCATATTAAATATCTTCCTTTCCACCACGACGCTAGGCGTCTCGACGATGGGTGCCTCGACGCCCAACC